AACATTTTAGGAATACTTTTATATATAAGTGATATTGGAAACTGAAGTAAGGAATTACACATGAACTAGACTTTTCAAAATCTCTAAGCAGAATCCTGCAAATATTTTGGCCAAATGAAGAACTCCTCAACTCATTCTGTCTTAGCTAACTCATCCAAAATCATTGGACAAAGATTTTATTATTAAACTTCAGGAATATATTTGCTAAACTGGGTGTTAAACACTTACCAAAAATATATTTTGTATCAGCATTATTTTTAAAAAATACTACCCTGTATGGTTAAACTTAAGGCCAACCATTTCTGTTTCATTTTTGTATAACTACTGTAATAACATGTGTGGATTTCCCTAGTGTGGGTTCCAGGAGCCCTCTTTTGGAAATGAAACCAGAAAAGACTCACCACCTCTTAACAAGTATGTTGTAAGATACAGCTAATAAGGGATTGTTGAAATCGAATGTGTTGAGCCAAAATGGTCAGATATCACAGCCTAACTGTAAACCACAATATAACATGCCAACTGCCATTTTATCGGTGAGAACTGAAGAAGAAATATTTTGATATAAAGGGGATAATCAAAGATTTTAAACTAGTACGAAATGAAACTAAGGATTTGATAAAGTCACCAACCTCAACCAGTGATATCTCCTTATGAACTACTGAATGATATTTAACCCCACTATCTCTTTAACCCCCTTAACCGCACAATCAGCGATTACCACCCGGGGACACAAAGAGCCACCATGTAAATGAGAATCCCCCAAGGTGCAAATGCAAGAAATCCTGTTCAACTATAAGGTTCTTTTAGGGCCAGGTGATGGTTACAAAGTAACCTGAAGTCTAACCAGGTGGGACTTTAATATCGAAACAATTGTTTCCCATATTGGAACAGGTTATTATGAATTACTGGAATTATCGAGCATGAATACTTGCCTACTGTTCTTTAGGGGTCAACAACAGTGCAACAGAAGAAGAGTACCACTGAATGGTAATATTTGTGAAGGACCCTTTTCACATCTGTGGCATATCAGCCATTAATGAAAGACTTTTTTTTAGACCAATTGGTACTTGGTATCAGATGATGTCAAAATCATGCTGACTGCCTTTACTTCCCAGGACTTTACTCGATAATAGTAAATAAAAACCTTTTTCCATACGGCCCTAGCCACTTATTTCTAGACAAATCTGAAGGTGATGGATGAAGTAGTTAACATTATCCTGGCCACAGTTACTTGATAGATAATTCACCGGTATCCGGTTTATGCTGTGAACCCAGATTAAGACAAATATAATCTCCATCGTTTACTTTACTGAACATCTGAGCACTGGGCTGACAGGCAAGCATGTTAGCTACTGTGCTGCCATTGCTATTTAATTGTACACACCATATTTTTCTGCACATGAAAAGACATGTTTCCTAATATTATTTTAAGTTTAACACTGCGGGTATCTTATATATAAAAAGTATTTAAAATATTAAATTCTTAATTTAAGGTAAAAAAAAACTGGAGTTGTCTTATACGTAGGGGCGTCTTATATACTGGAAAATTATGGTAATAATTCAAAGAAAACAACAACAAAGAAATGGAAAATTAGCACAGTATGCCCAAATATCAATAACCTTTGTTTTCTTTACGTTCACAGGTTGTAAACTGTGGCAGAAAGTTTTGGTTGTTTGTCCACTTCTGGACTCTAGATTTGTTCAAGAATCTAAGTGTTGCATGCACGTCCATTTTACAGATGTGACTCATACAGACTGTCGGTTCCTTGCCCTTAAGCAGAGGCACTCCAAGTTCAAAGAAAGCTCCCAATAAGTAGACTCTTACAACATGCTTTTGGGTAGGCAGTGGGTCAATTCTTGTTTTCCTCATAACAGATCCTAGAATCCACACAGGGAAGTCAATAATTATTTAATGCTGAATTAAAAAATAGTATGTGTGTGGTGCAGAGCCTGATTCTGAAGAAGTACTGTATGTAACACAGCTTAAAAACAATAAAGCAAGTGGTGCTGAACTTATAAAAGAAGGTGGCCATGCATTACATTTAAAGATATGTGAATTAATAGAACTAGTTTGGAAGATGGAGAAATTACTCTGTGAGTGGGGGGAAAAAGTAATTATTAATACCCATTTTTAACTACACAGAGTTCTTGGATTTACTTAATCTAGTACAAGAGGTTTCCCTAGAAATATTGTCAAGAAGAAAGGAAGTCACCTCATGTGATAATGCTATTACCTGGTATATTGAAGGCTAATGTTCATTCTGGTCAGGGGACTATCTATCAAGTTCAACACTTATAACAAACCCATTTTGTATTTGCGAAAATCTGTTTCATTAATAATTTGTCTGCTAAATAATAATTTGATCTGGTTGCATGATACTGACTCCTGGAGGTAATATATACAGACTGTCACTCTCAATTTATTGCCAGGCATATTTCATTGCATCTCTTTAATTAAGTGCATTTCACGAACATATAATGAAGCATAAAACTGAACAAATTCCAAAGTAATACAAATAGTCCATCTTGTGTTAATCTGTGTTAATCTAATCGCAGGAAGTTCATGTCAGTCACATGATTTACCACGTTAACTTCAAAGTTATAATCTTTCTAATTTACAAATTTATATGTGCAGATCTAGTAAATAAACAAAGAATAACTTCTATTAGTAAACATTAACATAACACTCAAGTCCATAGGAAATCGACGTAAAGCAGTCTACTGCCAAACTACCCACAGCAAACTACATCAGCAGTACAGAAACTCAGTAAAGTATACCAAAGATATACAGTATTGATATAACAATCGTAGGCAGCCGCTGTGTTGTAACAGCAGAATGCTGACATGCAGATCCAAAGGTCATGAGTACCAAATCCAAATGGAGCGGGACTTTAAAAAAAACGGTTTTGGCTCCCAGGTCAACACAACCTTAAATGTCTACCAGGTAAAGTCTGGGAAGTAAAGGCTGTAGACATGATTTTGACAACATGACTAACCGAGTACCAACTGGTCTGTTAAAAATAGGTCTAGCCCTATATGCATAAAGGTGTGAAAAAGGATCCTTTACTTTACATAACAATCATTCCTGAAAACATGTGTTTATCCGTGTCAGTTATTTATATAATATATATATATATATAATGGATTGGAAAATGGTGGAAACCAAACCCTAGTACTTGAGTCCGCCAAAATAGTATATACACAATAATCGCCAGTATTGAAATTTATCTACATGTACGATATTTGCAGTCTTTGAATACATTACGGTAGCAATGTTTTGCATGGAGTTTTGAAAATAACAACCGGTATAAACATTTTGATATTAAATTTATTCAGACACGAAGAGATGCATGCAAGTTACATGTGATGTAACTAGAGTTGCTCAAAGTGATTCACATTAGCTTCCAGAAACTTTTCCTAACCATAATACAACACATAGCTACAGTAATTTGATCTAAGATGGCGGAATATGTCACATAATGATGAAGTTTTTAAACAAAAAGTCTCTATGAAAATGTTTATGCGTTTCACTGCTGGGTGACTACTGCGTACACATTTTTTGACTAATGTTGAACTCTGTAGTTATAAAAAGAATGGCACATTTGTAACACAGTTAGCAGCTAACGCGCCCAACTAGAACAGCAGGTTATAGATAGTTGTGTATCCTTTACAGGGTGTTGCATTTTTTGTGTGTGGCTAATGTGGTTTTTCTAGGCAAATGTTATGTTCAGTAGTCTGCCATTACTTTCAGAACAGCACAGGTTATAGATAGTTGTGTATCCTTTACAGGGTGTTGCATTTTTCTGTGTGGCTAATGTGGTTTTTCTAGGCAAATGTTATGATTAGTAGTCTGCCATTACTTTCAGAACAGCAAGTACATCAGAGAAATACTTGGTAAAGCTGTAGGGTTCTTAATTTTTCTTCTTTTTAGTGTTTCCCTGCTGAAACTCTGACAGAAAATTCTGACTGATCATCCATTTCTGAAATTTGGTCTTGCTCCAGAATTCGAGCTTCACATGAAAGTTCTTTTTGAAGATCTGGCTTATTTGTATGCAGACTATTGACTCCTCACCTCTCAGGCAGATGCAATCCAACTTTGAAGGAAACTCCCCTGATTAGTCGCGGTGTTTGACATGCAGGGCGGGATCTAGACTTCATGGGGTCATATGCTATATAAAATCCTAAGGCGCCTTCTGTTTTAAATTACACCATGGAATCTCAGAAAGCTTTAATACAAATACGCCTTTTGAATATAGGGACAATGAAAATATATTGTCGTTTAATTTTTACTTAAAGAAAACAATAAAGAATATGTGCAACATCAATCATATATTACATTAAATAATCCTCTTAAAGGCTCTATAAAAAAGAAAATGGCATTGGTAAACAATACATAGGAATTTCTGAGGCCCCTTCAGATTATGAGGCCCTAGGCATAACTTAGTTTATGCCTAAATCCAATACTGACAACATGCTTTTTAGGGAGGCAGTGTTTCTATTCTCCCCCTCAGAATTCGGTCCTGAAACCCACATGGAGAGGTGCTTAATTAATACCATTATATGAAGTTCAATTGGGAATCTGGAATATGTTCCTGTTGGACAGATTTTTTTTTAATGTAGTGACAAACCCTCAAGTAGCAGTTCTGGTGGAGAATACCAAAGTCAGATTCATATCATTTACAGGACATCATCAAAAATCCTCAGCATTTATTATGATTATTATTATTATTTCATATTCTGTTTGTTACTGTTTTCTGAAACTTAAATTGTTTACTGATATTGTTGACAAAGTCAATGCATAGTGTTCTGCAAATGAATCACCCATAGGGGACTTCAAACCCCAGAGAATACAAAAAGCAAAACTGAAACAAAATATTTATTTATGAAAATTTTTACAGGCAAAAGAAAATTACATAACACATACATACAAAAGATACTAATACAGTATTTTGCTAATGTTGGTACTATCACAACAAAAAACAAGACAACAATCCTTTGGTTTATAGAAATATGTCATGCCCAGACTTGAAGGGTTCATACTTCTTGCTGTCCAATCTGGCAGCTTCTATAGAGGAAAATGTCGGGAGCCCATGAGGCAGGTCCAGCAGATGGTGCTCTTCATCAATAATACGATCGGCCATTTCTGTAACAATGAATCACATTAGCATATCGTTCAAGCGCACACAGACTGTGATACGTTAAAGAGAAATTGCTGACTAAAGAAACTTCTGTATTTTGATCTGCCAGTTCTATAATAAGATTATAAAATCAAACTCAAATAACACATTTTTTCATAACAAATTAAGAAGATTAACTCTTTGAGTCCCAGGGGGTTTAGCATCACAGGCCCAGGGGGTAATAAAGAAAGTAATAAAATCGGCGCATCATGCGTTCATTGGGTTTCTAGGTAGGAACCTATGAACGTATGATGCGTTCCTTGGGACTCAAAGAGTTAAAGGTCAGAGGACTTCATTGCACTGGATTTATCCCATCTGACCTGGCCTCTCTCCGCATAGTTGCTGATGACCTGCCAAGAAAGTTACACACAACACTTTCTGCACAGTGGCTGATGGCCTGCCAAGAATGTTACACACAACACTTTCTGCAGTGGCTAATGACCTGCCAAGAATGTTACACACAACACTTTCTGCACAGTGGCTGATTTCCTGCCAAGAATGTTACACACAACACTTTCTGCACAGTGGCTGATGGCCTGCCAAGAATGTTACACACAACACTTTCTGCACAGTGGCTGATGGCCTGCCAAGAATGTTACACACAATACTTTCTGCACAGTGGCTGATGGCCTGCCAAGAATGTTACACACAACACTTTCTGCACAGTGGCTGATGACCTGTCAAAAATGTTACACACAACACTTTCTGCACAGTGGCTGATGGCCTGCCAAGAATGTTACGTTACACACAACACTTTCTGCACAGTGGCTGATGACCTGCCAAGAATGTTACACACAACACTTTTTGCACAGTGGCTGATGGCCTGCCAAGAATGTTACACACAACACTTTCTGCAGTGGCTGATGACCTGCCAAGAATGTTACACACAACACTTTCTGCAGTGGCTGATGGCCTGCCAAGAATGTTACACACAACACTTTCTGCACAGTGGCTGATGGCCTGCCAAGAATGTTACACACAACATTCTCTGCACAGTGGCTGATGACCTGCCAAGAATGTTACACACAACACTTTCTGCAGTGGCTGATGACCTGCCAAGAATGTTACACACAACACTTTCTGCACAGTGGCTGATGACCTGCCAAGAATGTTACACACAACACTTTCTGCAGTGGCTAATGACCTGCCAAGAATGTTACACACAACACTTTCTGCAGTGGCTGATGGCCTGCCAAGAATGTTACACACAACACTCTCTGCACAGTGGTTGATGACCTGCCAAGAATGTTACACACAACACTTTCTGCACAGTGGCTGATGGCCTGCCAAGAATGTTACACACAACACTCTCTGCAGGTGCAATGACGACACTTAGGGATCTCAAAAATTGCATTTGTGAATTGAACAATAGTTTGAAAATGAATTTAAGAGAAATCAGACCACAAACTTTGATCATTTTGCTCCAGAGAATCACAGTACACTGGAAATTTAGGATACAAGGGAACCTGATTATGAGTTTTTTAGGATATGAGGTCAGGCTCACACATTTTTTTCTCTTAAAATATGAGGAGAAATCTAGGATGTGAGCTGGGGAGACGGGAACTCTCTGCATAACCTGAAAGCATCTCGATAACTTTTAAATGAATTTGGTCATGTCAACATTGCTAAATGTGGACTTGAGCCAGTCGACAAGACACTTGTTAGACTGTAGCGTCATGGTAGAAAGTAATCTCATTTTCCGTTCCCGAAAAAAAAAAAAACAGTGCCACACATTTTCCACATTACCAAAATGAAAAAAATTTAGCTCTGCTATTTGCCCTAAAATAAATATCTGATCTATTATTGATCTATTCTGTCAGAAACCCGCTTGGTCATCATCATCATCATCATCAATTTCCACTTCTGCTATTAAGCTTTGTGGGGAGGAACAGTTTGCAATCCACTGCTTGATGTGCTGCACTGGCTATTGTCATTCAGTGTCAATGTGGAAGCTCTTTAATGTCATCAATCCATCTTCTAGGATCGCCTCTTGCTTTCACTTCAAATCTTTTCATGTGTAGCGCCTGCGGTGGTAGTTGGTAAACACCTAGTATATCTCTGACATATGGTTTTAGCCTGTTTAGCAGTACCACTGATAGTCTGTTACAGCTTGTAGACAACAGTGATAGTCCTCTATAATGTTCACATTTATACTTGTCTCTTTTCATTAAAAATGGGTATTAAAAATGACTCTTTTTATTCATAGGGTAATTTCTCCGTCTTCCAAACCATTTTTATTAATTTGTGTATCTTTAAGTGTAATGGATAACCACCATCTTTTATAAGTTCCGCAGCAATTCCATCAGCACCAGCAGATTTATTGTTTTTAAATCGTGTTATTACTTCAGGCTCTTCAATATTTGGTTCACATGTTTGTATCTCTTTCTGTGGATAAGTATCTGGCTGGTAAATTTTTTCCTACTGAATGCTTCTTGACATTATTTACCATCCTTTCGTTCTTTCTGCTTATGGCTGAAACACCAAGACATTCTTCTGCATTGGTTTGAATTATATTCTTAATATCCATCCAGGTTTGAGTCAATGTCTTCCTATGACGGATTTAGTAAAATTTCAATTTTACATTTTAATTCTGCAAATTTCCCTGATATGGATGTTTCTTGTAATCTTTCTTTATTGTACTCTGGATGTGATCTTTGTAACTTGGTGTAGAAGGATCTCTCAAACTTGATTTTTTATTTTGTACACCCAGGTAGTGGTCACTATGACACTCAGCTCCTCTGTAGCTTCTAACATGTATGTTTAATGCATTTCTATTATTTATTAAAATGTGATCTATTTGATTATAAGTTACCTTGTCACATGATTGCAGGGTTTGTTTATGTATATCTTTTCTTTAAAATCTGGTGCTGCTTATCTGTAGTCCTCTGGCTACGGCAAGGCTGATTAATCTCCATCCATTATCGTTTGAATTTGTATGTAGGCTTTCCTTGCCTGCTAAATTTTAATAGGTGTTTTCTCTTTCTATTTATGCATTGAAATCTCCTAAGACAATCAATATGTCTCGTTTTTTAGCTTCATGTATATTCTCAAGGAGCTCATAGAAATTATATTTAATTTCTTCTTTGTCTTCGGTGCGTTCATTAACAGCTTTACAATTTATACTTACCAAACTTTTTTTTCTTGATGACAAATCCTGTCCCTAGTTTATGTTTATTTTAAGTGTTTCCTCCATACACTGTGATCATTCCATTTTCCTCTATGGTATCTTGTCCTAGCGTCCTTAATTTTTTAATTGCTGTTATATCCATTCTGTAATCAAATAACTCACGGATCAGTTCTTCAGCTGCTCCAGCTCCGTAAAGGGTTCACACATATTCCATGTTACAAATCTCAAAAGTCCTTCAACATTCCATTTTCAATGTCGATTTAAATCAATCTAAAATTGATGCTTAGAAATCTGTTTCGTGATCAAATGTAGTTTTATAAAGCTGGGGGAGTCAGACCCACACTTTTCCCTGTGTAGGTTCTGGGGCCCTATTATAGGGAAAACAAGAACAGACCCACTGCCTACCCAAAGGCATGTCGTAAGAGTCAACTAAAAAGGAGCTTCTTTCAAAGTCAGAGTGCATCTGCCTGAGACGCAGTCTGCATACAAATGAGTCAGACCTGTAAAACCGATGCACATGCAACACTTAGGTTCTGGAACAGGACTGCAGTCCAAAAGATGATGGTCACCCGTGGAGAGGTTCCGGAAACCGCGTTCAGCCATTAGACCACATTTATGGCAGGGCTATATACAAATGAGTCAGACCTGTAAAACCGATGCACATGCAACACTTAGGTTCTGGAACAGGACTGCAGTCCAAAAGTGAATGAACAACCAGAACTTTCTTCCAGAGTTTCCAGCTGGTGAACACAAAGAAGAAGAAGAAGAAGAAAGAAGACCCACACTTCAACCCCCAACCTGGAGCATCAGGGTGTTTTTCTGTATCTCATAATAATGAAAACATGCCAAAACCAAATGCACAGATCATCAGTGTTTCTGTTTTGAAGAGCTCTGCTTCTAGTATTTTAAAAGTTAACAGAAGTGGTGATAAGACACACCCCGTCTTACTCCAGATGTTACTTTGAATATTTTAGATGTTCCCTGACTTATTCTAACTACGCTTCTACAATCGCTAAATAAGCATTTTTTAAAACTTCAATGACGTGTTCACTTACTCCACATCGAGCCATTACTTTCCATAATTTTTTTCTATCGACCTTGTCGAAAGCTTTCTCCTGGTAAAATTTACTATTCAGTTACTAAAAACATGGACCTAACGCTATATCCATCAAATACCTATACCATCTCTACCCTTTTTTTCCTTGACTCTCCTTGAGACTGCATCCAATCTCCTGAGAGAAAAGCCTTTGTGTCATCTTACAAAATGTATATTTATTATCACTATCCTCTGGGACCTATTCTACTGAATAATCTAGTTTAAAACTGACTTTAGTGTTACTTCTTCTTCTTCTTCTTTTTCTTGTTCACTGGCTGTAAACTCCAGCGGAAAGTTCTAGCTGTTTGTCCACTTCTGGGCTATAGTCCAGTTCCAGAACCTAAGTGTTGCGTGCACATCCATTTTACAGTTGACTCATTTGTATGTAGACTGTTGGTTCCTTGCCTCTCAGTCGGATGCACAATGACTTTGAAGGAGGCTCCCAATTAGTCTACTCTTATAACATGCTTTTTGGTAGGCAGTAGGCCTATTATTGTTTTTTCTATAATGGGGTCAAAACGCACACTATTTTCCATACATATAACATACATATGCTCAGATATACGTACACATACACATACACTAAAATCCATAATCTAAATGCTTTCAAAGAGGCTATGTCATGAAGACAATTTATCACAAACATCAGAAAGAGATAGTAATCTTTTTTTTTTCATCATTATGAGATAAGAAAAACTAAATAGGACAATTGCAAACCACTTCTTACCTCTAATTCTTTCCAGTTTAGGCCCATAAGCCATATCCCATTGATAAGCTGCCACAAAATTAAGAGGTATGAGTGGTAACAACAGACCAAATCTGTGCCGTCGAAGTGCTCTAGGGAAAAAGAAATAGTACTTTACAAAGGAATTAAAAAAAGGTCCTTTGAACTGACATTCTGTATAAAGATCCTCAGAATGAAATGGAATGGACAAAGAAGAAAAGAAATACTAGCATCCTAAATAATCTTAGCATCAAGAACGATTGGATAGTAAACTGTATCAAGCAGCACGAGAGATTGGAAAGAATAGTAGCAGAAGGCATGGTGGCAGGAAAGAGACAGGGGCTGACCAGCACAAAGATGGGCACAGGATATAAGTGAATCTTGGGTAGAAATGTGCACGAGGTGAGACAGTTGGTGAGGGAACAAGCTTCTTCTAGGCAGATTGTGACAAGGGCGTTGCTATGCATAGAACCTGCTACATGAAGATGATGACGATTTCACAAATAATGATCCCACACTTCTCTTTGGTGAACTGGATTCAATCAGCCTTGAAGGAGACATACGGATGATCATCAACAACCTCCACTTTTGCCTCTCAGCATTGAGCCAGGAACAGTTTGCCGACCAGTGCTCCACAGGTGGCACTGGCGAATGTCAGGAAATGTGGATCAAACCCTTATTACTTTTAGCATAAATGACAGTTACTAGCAGAGAAATGACAGTAGGGCGGAATATGCTCGTGTAGGGATATTTTAGGTAGTGCTGGATTTGTGAATGTGTTTGTTGTTTGTGTGTCTTTATACATTAGGCAGTGTTTAACATTTGGATGTGTGTATGTTGTTGTTGTCATGTTGTGTTTGTATAAATGTATTCGGTGAGAAACTAATAGGTATGGGTGAGCTGTCTTTGGAAAAATCTCAATTTTTGTCATTTTTTGGCTATTTCCATTTTTGTTTCCAGTTTGCTCCAAATTACACATCTAGATTACCTATTCTACATCTATAGAGTCTATTCATGTGTAAAATATTTGCTTGGGACTCAATATTTAGTGGTAGGATACCAAAAAGTTGTTGAGAACATTTCATAGTAAAAATTGTTTTTCCCTCTTTTCTCCTATTTTATGCTGCCAGCAGTGTGCTTCAATATGTCCAACTACTCATCTACATCATCTATTGATGTGTGAAATGTTAGTCTGAGACTAAATTGTTAACTTTTGGAAAATGTCAGTATTTGGCAAAACCTAACAGGCATTTATTGCTTGTTTATTGTAACTATTATTTTGTGAATCACCACTGATCACTGACATCATGAGAGCTAACAGAGTGAAATGGGGCACATTGAAAGAATGTCAGATGACAGAGAAGTAAAATCTGTACACACGAGGGAGATGAATGGTCATAGACCACGATGCAGACCAAGAAGACGATGAAGAGATAATATCCAGACAGACCTGCAAAAACTGGAAAGAGAAGGCCAGCCAGAAAGATGAATGGAGGCGGGTGATATCTGCAGCAATGAACCTCAAGGGCTAAGAATGCTGAAGAAGTAGAATAAGAAGAAGAAGAATTATTTTGTGAAGCTGATCGATGCTTTGTGTTTTCCAACTATTTTTAGTGTTTCCAATACAAACAAACCACTATGACATGCAGCATTACCCCAACACAAGACCAGTACTGGTTAAAGCATCAAAGGCAATCCAGTACCAGAACAGATCCCTGGATCTTGCAATCATGACTGCCATTTGCCTCTCTCTCATCTCATTCTGCATGGCCAGCTGTCGCTCCAGCTATAAGCAGATGCATAGTTCATTGTTAAATGAAGTTATGTTCAGTGCAATAGTAGTAGTACATTTTACCCCACCAGGACATCACACAAGCAACAAACACCCGATGACACAAAGTGCCACCATGTGGATGATGGTCACCCGTGGAGAGGTTCCGGAAACCGCGTTCAGCCATTAGACCACATTTATGGCAGGGCTATACTGGGGCCCCTGGCAAGAGCCAGAGTGGGGCTTCAAAATAACGAAAATTTGCATCCCACAAGGGGATGACTAGTTAAATTGTGTAATAAAGGTGACTATATTAAAACAGTAGTGATGTATGGATACAAAATCTGGAGAATAACAAAAAACAATTACCGACAAACTGTTAACTCTGTCACCCTGTGAAAGCTGTTTTCTGACATTTACATGTTTTTGTAACATGAAACATGTGTGCAGAATGGGAGAAAATCGGCCACCATGGCAAGCATGGGAGGCTAAGAACCAGGGAACCAGACCTCCGGGACGACCCAGGGTGCGCTGGGAAGACAACATCCGACAGTCCCTGACTGACAGAGGACTGGAATGGAACAAAGCCAGAAAGAAAACTGCTGATAGAGACGTCTGGCGATCTCTCTGGCAAACCTCTACACCCCAAGGTAGAAGAGGAGCGACTAAGTAAGTAAGTAAGTGTAACATGAAGTGTTTGGGTATACACAGTGTGTAGACATGGGGGGGGGGGAGGGTATAATTATAAAAGCCCCCCCCCCCCCCCCTACAAAATGGGATATTATTTGAGACTTTTTTTTTTTTTTAAAAACAAAAAAATTTAATTGCAGTGTCATCTTTAGGTCATAATAATCTCATATGATGTCATTTTGATCCATTTTGCTTAGTCAACAAAACTACATTTATCATTTTCAAAGTGAAGGAAAGCAGTTAATTCCTGGTTCCATCTGTACGTAGTGATAATTTCCCTTACTTAAAAAAAATGTATTGCATAATTTAAAAAAAATTTTAACTATATAAATTATTTTAGTCATTTGGCAACCTCAACACAGGTGTGGACTTTACACTTGCCTGTATGCTCGGTGGTCCCGGGTTTTAACTCCCAGATGTTTATAAAAGTTGCCAGAGTCTCAAGTTTTTTTTTTCTGCTTCTTCTTATCTTCATCTAGTTTCTAAGGGAGCAGAGTTTGAGAGAAGCTGTTTCTTTCTCTTAGTGTTCACTGGTTGACAAATTCCCAGTGGAAAGTTCTGGTTGTGCATCCACTTTTGGAATTTAGACTTGTTCCAGAACTTGAGTGCTGCATGAAAATCCATTTTACAAATCTAGTCTATTTATATGTAGATTGTTGGTGCCTTGCCTCTCAGACAGATGCACTCTGACTTCAAAGTTACAGTAAAATACAAGGATGCATTTATTTTAAATTCAAAAGGTTTTTTTTTAAAGATTTCTATGGGGTGAAGGGGTTAACTGGTACCAGTGCTGAATCATCATCACAATTATGTAGCAGGTCCTTTGCAGAATGCAACTCTCATCACAGTACACCAGACAGCTGTTTGATTCCTTGCCAACCATCCTATCTCATGAGTTTCCTCTCATGGGTGTCCTTGATATCCTGCTATTACTATTGTGCACTGCAAGGAAAATTATCAAAGTCAAGAAATGGACGAATAACCAGAATTTCAAGTAGAGTTTACTGACCATGAAGGCTAAGAAGAAGAAGAAAAAGAAGAAGAAGAAAAGAAGAATAAGAAGAGGGAGGAAGAGAACAAGGAGCAGGAGGAAGAGGAGAAGAAATAAAAGAAGAAGAAAAGGAAGAGGAATAGGAAGAAGAAGAGGAATGAGGAAGAAGAAGGAGGAGGAGAAAAAAATAAGAAAATTATAACATGGTGAGGGAAAGACATGAAAGAAGCTCTAGCCGCAGGCAAAAACAAAATAGAACTGCTTGCAGATGGTCCAAGGTTTATGCTTCAATAGGAGGTAAAAGCAGAAAAAAAAAGAGTTTCTTTTTAATTAATGAATTAATTAATAAAACAAGAAATGACGTCACTGCACTCGGCACATTCCCACATGTGCTCCGTCCCTGTCTTCAGTAACTAATGAAGAGTCAACATGCTAATGGTACCAGTTGCAACCTGATTAAAAGTGCACCTCTGTTTCCCCTTCAGTGTTAAATTTTTCCCAGAACCTCTACTCACCCTGTGTTGAATTAAGTCTTTCAGTGTATGGATTCCCTTTCTTTTTTTTTTTCAATTTTTAATAAGTATTAGTATTTATTGAAAACTAACCTGTAGCTGCTGTGCCTTCAGCGTAAATTCTTGCTGCTTCTTTAGATTATCATCCATAGTTTTTCCAAGACTGAGACCCATCTTTTAATTTTTGCCTAGCAATACCTGAATAAAAAGGCATTTTGTGTTATGAAAGACATCTCAAAATTCCACAAATTATTTATTAAAAGCAATGGCAAAGGTGTGCTGTATAAATATGATAGAAACAGGAGCTAAGAATAAAATGAATCTGGAAGAGACAAGCAGTGACAGAGAAGGTTACGCTGAAATCAGATGTGATTGGTCGAAAGATGTAGATATCACAGCCTAGATGTAAATCACAACACAGTGTGTTAACAGCCTTTTTAAGGGTGAACTTAGAAGAGGCATCATCGATGTTGTAGAAGTTTTATTTGTCAATGAGAGAGACAGAGAGAGAGACACAGAGAGAGACAGAGAGAGAGAGGGAGAGAGAGAAGATGAAATAACCTTGTATTAATGCTGTACTGATCAGAGATAACCAAAAAAAAAAAAACTACAAATAATAGAAAGAGACAGACAGACAGAGAGAATCTAACTCAACCTATAATATGTTGCTATATTTAAAGCACTGCAAGCAGTTTGGTCAAACTACCAGAACTAGACACAGAATATAGTAAATATATTTTTAAACAGATTAGTTGTGTACCATTAAATGATGTTTGACAGTTTTTAGCAATGAACCAACATCATGGCACACGGTTAGTAACTCATAAGTGCTCCATTCTTCTTCTAACTCGTCTGAGTCCGAAGAAGCTCTGCACAGGTTCTGTAGCACTGGCAAGGATCCTGAAATACTTTGGGTAGATTTTTTACTCTAAATTTTACCAGGGCAGTGCCGTTAGGATTTTTTATGTGCACAACAATGTACACGGGCATCCGATCTCACTACCCAGAGACCAGGGGGAATTACTAGAAGTCCAAGTCCACATGAAAAAAAAAAATCCCAGCCCTTACCGGGGATGAACCTGGAACCTCTAGCACTCGAGGGGGACACCATGCCTGGAGACCATGCAGCCCACCCCACCCCCCCCCCCCCCCCCCCCCTTAAATGATTTGAGAAATGATTATGAACAACTATTTATTCCTTCAATCTGAATCACAAAATATCAAGTATTCCTTTTTTCATTACTATATGTCATGGACTCTGAAAAACAGATGGACAAAATAATGAATACCTTATAGATGATAAAATCTAGAAAATTGAGAAATCAAGAAAATTGAATAAATTTCAATTAAATGAAAATGACAAATAACAAAACCCAAAACAAAAATGGGACGGGAGAAAAAGTATATCTAAATGAGAATAGAATTCAGGCACTTCATTACTGGTAACAAGATGGGAATTAGAAATGTGTGTTTAAATGAACAGACTATCAAATAATAGAAAGGCTGCCTCATATGATGGACTAACAAAAGAATGTACACAATCATGACCATAGGTAGACAATTCTGAAGATCAAGATTATTGCAATCACTACAGAGGTCCCAAGTAGTTAGCATCCTTTTGATATTTTCTCCATGTCAGGGCAGTGTGTTGGAAAATGAGCAGGCGGACAGATTGACAGGTTCTGCACAACTTGGTGGTGAATTGATGTATGACAAGCTAGATGTTGTGAGGGCCCTTTGGGAGCGAGTGAACAGTGCGAAGGCACAAAGAGATCATAACAGTCTGAGGAGAATGACACTGCAGGGAGTTACCAGGGGAAAAGCGAGATGGATATACAATCAGACAGTTAGTGGTACCATCGAAATTGGAACTCTTCTCTTGCTGCTGAAGATGGGGATGGAGCGCTTATGGGGGTATCCCGAGTGTTATGATGTCAATTCTTGATTCAACATTCAAGAAGATCATTGTAGCCAGCCTTCAAATTCTTTGTATATTAAAAAAAAATAACTTATCTTGTCATCATTCACCTCCTTTGTACCCATCCATGATCTGTTTTCTGTTACTGGTTATAATGAGATTTGTGGTTTCAGCTTTGAATTGTGCTTCATAAAAGGTAATATTTGTAACTTACTACTGGTGTTTTATTAGCCTATAGTTTGTAGCCTTATGCTTATGTTTCCATCATATTCAAGTTATACAGTGGTTTTGTAGGGCACTGTATTATGACATTCTTGTTACATAATCATCATCATCAATGTCTGTTGTGCCATTATATGTCACAAAGGGCTCCTAGTCTATTCCTTCATTCACATTTCACTCAGTGTATTATTTTTTAAATTATGAATGGAATCCAGTCCAGTAACTTTGGTCTCTCTCATCAACATTCATTTTAGGGTTTCTTCTGGACGTCCTCACTTCCTCTATCCCTTTACTTCCTATTTTAGTGACTGTTTGTTTGGTATTTTTGTTGCATGATGAACCATGATTTGGAGACACAATAGAACATCTGAACAAGAAAACACAGATACCAAATTTAATTAGACTGATTAATTCGGTGATGATGAATGTATACCACATTCTAATATTAGTGCTGTCCCCACTTGCTTTCTCAATTCATCACTTGTGATTATTTCCTCTAGTATCTAGCGTTCTACTCATGGAAGACATTCTGTTGCGTTTATTGCGATGCAGTTCTCACTGACACTAACTGAATAGTTCTTGTAGTTTCAATGTTACTGTTAATTATTTACAATAGTCATGTAATGTATACACTCTAATTACAGATTTCTAGCCCCGCTCTGCCAAAAAAAAAAAAGGGGGGGGGGGGGGGGGGGGGGGGGGGGGGGGGGGGGGGGGGGGGGGGGGTAACTCGTTGTGGACTAATCAACAGTTAATTGGCGTTTGAATAAATCCCCCTAGGACTAATCACAATTAAAGTGGCGTTTGATAGAGACACTCTGATATTGTTTTGTTTGCTGGAAAAACTAAATTTGTCTGAACATGTTTTGAAAAACTAGGATTAGCGATAGGAAGTCGTTTTGTGTTCCGATAATGACATGGCAAAGAATTTCAACAACAGCCCTTAAGATAGGACTCAAAATAAACACCAGTAAAACTAAAGTAATGAGAAATAATTTCAAAACAGAAAATCCAATTATCTTAAATGATGAAGCAATACAGGAAGTTGAAGAATGTATATACCTTGGAAGTAAAGTTACTCCAGATGGAAATTTTGAAAAGGATGTAACATCAAGAATAAATAAAGCAAATAAAGCAATTGCCATGCATAACAATATATGGAAGTCAAAGGGATTTAGTCTGAAGACAAAACTATACAAGAGCAAATTTTAGGAAAACTATTATAAAACAGTGAATGTTGAAAAATGACAGCGGGAATTGCACATAAACTTGAGACCTTTCAAAGTAAATGTTTAAGGAGAATTCTACAAATATTTTAGCCAAACAGGATCACAAATGAAGAACTGAGGAAAAAACAGAATGTGCATCACTGGCAAATGCTATCAAAGTAAGACGATGGAGATGGCTTTGACATGTCTACAGAAAGCCTTGTGACACTGGCAAAAAAAAAGCTCTCAGGTGGACAGCAATTGGGAAAAGGAGACGTGGACGACCTAAGGAAACCTGGAGAAGGACAACAGAATGGAAAATGAAGGAATTAAACTGACATGGGATACCATAGGCAGAGCAGCATACCGACAGCAATGAAGATCACTTGTGAATGCCTTATGTGTCAACAGCGACATGAAAAGGATATAGAGAGATATAGAGATATCTTTAAATGAACAGAGAATTCATATGAATTCATAGAAATGGATAGCACTTTTGTTGAACAAGTCAAACCAAAAAAATTAGGTAAGAAAAAAATGTATGCGTATTTAACAGCCTTAAATGTTATGATGTGATTTTAATAATAATTTGTTGTTACTGTCATTTAAATAGTTAGATTTATTGTGCTCTAATTTCTCTTTAATTTGAGAACTTCTTTTTCTTCAGGAAGGTTTTAGTTTTAGCTTTGTCATGTTGCAGTAAAAAAAAAATTCCGCTCAAAATGAATGCTGTGTAAACCCCACACAAAATTCAAAAATGTGGTCCTGAAAGAGTTAAGCCTAGTTAGTTAATGGTTGTTTTTACCTCCTATGCCATGGATAATTTTATTTTCATCTCTCCTTTTTAGTAATTACAGAAGATGAGAAGCAAGTTTATAAAAAAAATGTGTGTGAATCCTTCACCGTACTAGTACTAACACTCAACCGTTCATTTATATTTGTCATTCTAAATTTCTATCCGATGTGTTGCACTGTTTTCTTCAGAATCAGACTGAGACTACTGTCACTTTTTTACCCTCGCAATCTCCTCGGGCTTGCAATTCACACACAGCTTGTTGAGTCGTCAGTAATTAAATATCATTAATTCTAAATTAAATTTATGCTGTACAATATGCAAAATGTCCTCATGTTTCTTATGATATTCACTGCTTTTTACTCTATAAACAAGACAAACAAACGCCAGCTCACAAATAAACAAAATGCCTGTCCTTGATAAACATTTGTTTACCTTTTCAGTCCGCTAAGTTACAGTCCAATGTTAACAGACCGTCTACAACAATGATGGCTCCCTGGAAAGGAAGTCACTCAAAACAATATATGGAAACGACCGTCCTTGGTTGGGCCTGGATCGATGGTGCCCAGTTTTAGAATGCTGCCTCAGCAGAAATATTTTTAGGGTATCCGTGGCGCGGCGGTCAACCCATTTGCCTCGCCGTCTGGACTTCGTGGGTTCAATTCACTGACCTTTCATTTTAGTTCACGTGTGCAGTTCTTACACTATTTCCTGGGGATCGTCGCTGGACCTACGGAGTCTGTGCTTTCCCCTGTGCTCCCCTGTGGAGTTCTTTTATTATCATTACACTAGATTGCATCTTGTTTCAGCATGTGACTCAGTCGCTCTCCTTAGAAATCAATAGCCTACCATCTTTCAAAATTTTGGGATCATGGTAAACAACGACGATGAATTTCGAATTATTTACACTTCAATCAACCGTAAATAATAAATTACAGCGACACGCGGAAGCGTCCGTGATCAGCCAGTTTAATCCAGAATTAAGCTGACAAAAGGAAATGTTCCTCACTTTGCAGTTACCTTTGTGAAACTG